AACTGGATCTGATCTTGGGAGCTGACCTAAAAGGATTATTCTTCTTTTCACTCAATGTGCCTTCCCAAAGTTGCACATATAGCTAATGGTTAACTCATGTCTGTTTACCACAAATATAGGCAACAAGGTTTCTAGTTACTATCTAAGCATTCAAGGAAACAACTACATATAAGTAGATGATACAGTCTTTATTTGTATAAGGAAACAATTACGGATGAGTAGATGGGGCAGATAGATGGTACAGTGGATAAAGGGTCAGGTCTAGTTCAGGAAGAGTCATCTTCGTGAGTTCAAGTCTGTCCTGAGATATTTACTAGGTAGGCAAGTCATTTAACCTCATTTGCCTTAGTTTCCTCATCCATAAAATGAGCTGGAGAAGGAAATGGCAAACCACTCCATTATCTTTGCCAAGAAAACCTCAAATGGGGTCACAAAAATATTTGGACATGACTGGAAAGTGAATGAACAACAGACAGAAATGTTTATTTCACCTTACAGAAAATGAAGAAAATATAAATATAGAAGAAAAAACATAAAACACTTACAGGTGTTCCCCTGGAAGGTTTTGAACTCAAGTTTCCACTGTGACAACACTCCAACATTCTGATGACTCTCTGGTGCCTGCCATATGGTTCTACCCAGTTTCTCCAAGACTGTGGTTTAGAATCTTTAGAGTCTTCCCCCCCTGAGAAAGAAAACAGATTTTGGTTGTGCTGAATGAACAATCCACTTTTCTTTTAGATGTATGTTATTTACAAAACTCACTGAAAAGCTTTTATTTTCTTCTTACCTTCAGTTTCATTGTTTGACCCTTACTTTTCCTCGTGGTAGAAATCACATGACCATTACTCTTCTTTCTCTAAAAGTGATACTACACATGAAATAACCTTCTGTATCTAGAACATCTAATTCCTAAGGTGAGGATTACTTTCAAAGCAACTCCCCAAAGCTGATTCTGAAATCCATGTTATTTTCTTGAAGACTGGGATTATACAATCTAGGAAAGTTAAAAAAACACCCATAACCCTACCTCTTTTCAGGAGGTTGATTTTGAAAAAAAAAATACCCAGGTAGGGTGGGCAAGCAGATGTTTGCTTCTGCCATGTAGATTCTGCAAGAACTCTATCATTGTCCTGGCTGCTATCTTTTTGCCTTGGAAAGTCCATTGACTCTAGGCCTAGACACCAGCTCTGAAATCTATATTTTAACATGGTAAGCACAATGTGTTCCTTCACTCGAAACTATGAAGCCCAGGCTCCCTCTCCTACACATCTCCAACCTGCAGGATTCAGGCCAAATATACTATGCTTTGGTCTATGCTTTGAACAAAGAGATGGTGAAAAAGGCCTGAGCATATCCATCTTCTAGCTCAGTTTTATGGGTAGTTCCCATGAAAAGAGTTCATCTTCCTGAGTCCCAGCCAGACAGCCTTCTTGGGGCATCATCAGTCCCTGAAAGTTAATAACGCCAATATGGTAACTCTGCATGACATACAAGCCCATTGCCAGTCAAGGAGCTCATTAAAATGATGAGATAACTCTCTGGATCAACCTCCATTGAGCTTACTTGAGTGCATGTTGTATACTCACTCTATACCATCCCCCCTCCCAAAAGAATCTAAGCTTCCAGAGGACAGGAACTTGTAAAATTTTGTTTTTATGTCACTAGTTCCTAGCACAGTGCCTTGAACACAGTAGCCACTTAATAAATGTATGTTTAATTTAATATATTATGTTTGTACTCTTTTAAAGGAAAATGTTAATGCAAAAATGAAGTTCAGTGAATGTTCTAGATGGGAATTTACCCAGGCATTTTCTGTGAGGTGCTACCCGGTAATTTCGTTTTTGCCATAGCTTCAGTCAGCCTGCATAGTTAAAAAGCAAGGAATTGTCAGCATTACTAGGTTTTGGTCCTTTGGTCTTGTAGACTCATTTCCTTAATTCTGCTTTTACTGAAGAATAAAAGCTGGGTGGTATAGGGTATAGACCACTGGGCCTGGAGTCAGGAAGACCTGAATTCAAATCCAGCCTCAGGATACTTACTAGCTATCTGACCCTGGGCAAGTCACTTTACCCTGTTTGCCTTGTTTTCCTCGTCTGTAAAAGGAGCTGGAGAAAGAAACGGCAAAGCACTCCAGTATCTCTGCCAAGAAAAACCTAAATGGGGTCACAAAGAGGCAGACATGACTGAAAAATGACAAAAGAAATAACTGAACAACAGCAAAAAGTTGTTTGGGAATCAGATAAGAGTCCAATGTAGTCTAGGAGTTCCCCATTCCATATATGCCTCTACCTTTGGGGAGGCTTCAGAAAGATATACCCTATATGTTCCCTCCAATTTAGTCACATAAATTTATCCCATCAGCAATACATCTTGGGGGATTTATTGGGGAATCTAGATGACAAGGTTCACAATCTTCTTATGTTTGAGTTTCTTCCTCCTCCTCCTCTGGATGAAAAAAATAATTTTTGTATAATTTCAATAGCTGTATTAATCAATCAGTTATTAAGCATTACTCTGTACTAGTCTAAGAGTATGGCAGAGTGGATAACCAACCTCAAATCCCGGAAGATTTGAATTCTACCAACTGGAATCACTATTAACAATTTTATCCAAGTATCTAAATTGGAATGATGACTAAGGTTCACAATGACAATCCTGAACCTAAAAGTGTAGGAGGTAGTTATGAAATCACCACAGAAGAATGTAATTAATTCAGCCCAATTTTAATGTGAAGTCATTACATTCTGATTCTTTGAAAATGAGTCACCCATGTATAGCGGAGAAAGAAACATTTGAAACAATTGGGATACTTCATTCAATGCCATGAATAATTATGGCTAGTTAACACTCTAATAACCATGTTAGTAGATTATTAGAAGCATACATTTAGAGCTGGAAGGACCATTGAATTCATCCTTTCATTTTACAGATGAGGAAACAGAAGTTGAGCAGTTAAGTGAATACCCAAGATCGCAGAGGTAGTATCTAAGGTAGAGTTGGAATTTAGGTCTTTCTGACTCCAAAGAGCAATAGTCTATCTACTCTGCCACCTAGCTTCTGCATATTTTCTTTCTAGGTAGTTGCAGTATAAGCTTTTTATCTGTAGGGCCATACTGTATATAGTATTACAGTTATTTTCTTTTCCTAAAACATGATATCCAGTGCTGTAATGGGAAAAAAAATATGAAAGGGTGAAAATTAGCAGATAGCATTTTATTTTAAATCAAGTTTTAATTGAAAAAAAAAGCTAGAAAAAAATGTTGTTTTATGGCTTGTGGTGAGCAAAATGGAAAACAAAATAAAATTTGCAGGGTAAAACATAGAAATGGCCATTGTTTTATAACTGGAAATAATAGAGTACTCCTTTGGGATTTTGAGGGGGGTGACTAGAGGTGGGTGAAAAAAAAGATCAGCAAAGGAGAACGGACATCTGAAGCTGAGTATACATTACTCCATAATTTATAGGCCTTTAGCCATAAGGTTGAACACTACAGAATACTGGCAGATATGTGACTTTTGACAAGTTTCCCGGCATTTGAGGCCTAACTGAAAAACATAAAATACAAGTGCTTACTGTATGTATGTAAATGTAATGCCTTAAGGAAGCTCCAGGGGATCCACACTGGAGCCTGCAGTAGGAAGGTCCTGACATTTGTAAAAATTATTACACTCCTTAATTCAAAGGGATAACGGTAGAAATTATTTTCTACAGAAACAGCATCATTGCATCCTAGTCTCTGCCTTTGTTGTGGAAGTTGGCCCTTTACCCTTGAAAATCCAATGTTAGTTCTTTGGCCCACCACTTTGTGTATAGAATACAACATGTACTTCAGCTCCAATCTTGGGTTCCAAAGACACTAACCAGGAATTCTGAAGAAATGTGGTTTTGCTAATTGGTCAAGGGGCATTTTTTTTAAGCGATCAGAAATCTCTTTAAAAAATAGCTCATAATTGTATAGCAATAAACGTCTACAATCCTTTGAAGTAAGTAGTACATATATCATTATCCCCTAATTAGAGTGGAAGAGGCTGATTCTCAAAGGGGTTAAATGATTCACCTGCAGTTATAAGTGGTATACTTGGGATTTGAACATAGGTGTCCTGACTGCCAGACTAGTTTTCTTTCTTTATCATGCCACCTCTTACATGTACTGTCCCGTCTTTGGTTAATCCCTAGATTATTGAGCAGGTCTGAAATTCAGAATGTACAAGCAACCTTCCTTGTAATGTTTTCCATAGTTCTCCTTCTAACTGAAACACTCAATGAATAGCAACCAGTTTTCTAAATACCAAGCAAAATAGTTCCCTGAAATGATTGCTTTAAGCAGAATCTGATGTATGCGTTCATCTAAGTATACTTAGAAATATAGTTAGCTTAAACAACTAAATTCCCAGTTGTCAATATTTATAGACAGTGGTGTCACTTATTTAATATGGCTTTGAAGAGATCTAAAGAAAAAGCAAGAGAGGGTAATATTGAATTTCCCAGAATTGAGTATCCTGAGTTTTAAAAGTGTCTTTAATATTGAATGATATGGGTGGCTTATCCGACCTTATTAACTTCCTTTGCATTATACCATTTCATTAATTTCTCTCAATCCATATAAGCATCTAATTAGAAGTCAAGTAAAAATACTTGTAGCTTTCTAGTTATTTTTAAATTTGAGAACGAAAAATGATATTTAGGGGATAGGCTTTATCAGGGAGAAACAGGTCAATTACAAAAACCAATTAGTTGGAGCAACCAAGATGAAAAATAACCCAAGGTCTTCTAGGACTGCCTGGATGTAAGTAATTATTTGATTTTAACTATCTTTGTTAGGAAAATATTAATTTGGTAGATTGGTGGACTTGGAGAAAGAATTATTGGGAAGGTTCTATGTGTTATTGTAGACATCTAGTATTTACCAGTGAAGGGGAAAAAAATCTGCCTAGTGCCATTTTGAGATTTAAAACATGCTTAAGATCTGTTTTGCCCTTGAAACTATCCTTTCTAGAACATCACAGAATTACTGTGGACAAAGGAAGCTGGTTGCTGGGGAATATCAATCAGACTGGCTATTTCAGGGTCAACTATGATCTAAGGAACTGGAGATTATTAATGGACCAACTAATACAGAACCATGAGGTAAACACCAGATATGCTTATCAGAGATCGGCTTTGACATTGCGCGCTTCTTCTTTCTTCAATCCTGAATGGTTCCGTCTTTCTGGTTGGTTCTCATAGGTTCTCTCTGTCAGCAATCGTGCAGGTTTGATCGATGATGCCTTCAGCCTGGCCAGGTAGGTTCTTGATGGCCCTCTGAAAGAAATGTGTGTGACTATAAGTATTTTTTTGGCATGGAGTTAACCTGTGTATGTATTTCAAACATAAGAAAACTTTTTCAAGAACTTTTCTCTGTAGTTCAGTCTATTTGGAGTTATCAGACTAAACTAATTGCCCTCTCTAACTTGGACTATTCTAGATCAGTACAATCCACAGGGTAGCCCTAAGTCTGGAAAAAGTTGATCAATTTTTCACCAGATTAATTTTATAATTTCATGTTCTTATACTTTGTTGATTAGAAATCTTTGTGTTTTTACCAATGAACTTGACAAAATGACCCTCTCTCTCTATATATTTTTTATTGACAATGTCTTCAGATATTAACGATTTTTGATGTCTGATTTACAGAATGTGATCATTTTATGTGTTTTTATTGTGTGTGATCCATTTTGAAAAGTGTTTTCTGAATGAGAGTACTAAGTATTCCACAGAGAAAGGAAATTCTTCTATATATATAATAATTACTGAAGTTATTAGTAGTATAAGGTTTTAGTAATTCTGAGTATAGTACTAGAATTTTCTAAGGTCATAAAATTAGGCTTATAGATGAATGAATTATTCTCCTAAACCTTAATTATATGAAAAATTTTCAGTTATAAATTTGGAAATGGGGTTCAATCTATAGAGTCACCATAAATATATGTATTAGTCCTTTTCCATATTTGGATTATTTCATGTTCCAGTTAATGTTTTAATTTTAGGAAAATCCTATATGAGTCATAGGTTAATATACCACTGCTGTCTGTCCAAAAACTTGTTCCTGTTCATTAAATCTTGTCCTTGGGTAGTTACTTGAAACTAGTCAAATCTGTCTTTACAAATAGGAGAACAGACTTTACCCTATGAAAAGAACATTGCAATGTGCAGGGATTTGGGGTTGCTTTATGAGTTTTAGTGTATTAAATCAAATTTCAATTCTTCTCTATGTACTAAAAAGGATATTGTGCCTTGTAGAGGACTTATTCATCATCACTGGTGAGCTTAAAAAAAAAGTCTATTAATTATTTTGATACAAGCAAAAGTAAAGAAATAGGAGTATGACACAGTACAGTCATAACTTCAGTAATGGTTCAGAATAAACTGGATGCTTAGGAATGAGGGAGAATGCATTTTGGGTAGTAATAAAGAAATTACATATGTTATTATGTATGTTTATACATATATACACCCACATATACACAATTACATAGATTATTATTTGTGTATATATACCTACATATGTGTATATGTGTTATCCCATGCAGAAATATGTACCCATATGTGTTTGTGCATGTGCATTTATATGTACTTAGGCATACATATACCATACATGTATAATTTGCATATAATATAGGCATACATATATACAGTCTCAGTATTAGGAGCCCTCAACATATTATAGAGGAGGAAAATACTCGTCCAGTATTACCTCTTTGTCATATCAAGGAATTTTTAGGAAAGCAGGGAATTCTCTTTTCAAACAGACCTGTGACTTTTAGCACTACTGTGTGCCAGGACCCAGATGTTGCTTTCTAAGTTGGAGAGTATGGGCAGCTAGGTGGCGCAGAGGATAGAGCACTGGCCCTGAAGTCAGGAGTGCCTGAGTTCAAATCCGGCCTCAGATCAACCACTTGACACTTACTAGCTGTGTGACCCTGGGCAAGTCACTTAACCCCAGTTGCCTAAAAAAATTAAAAAAAAATAAGTTGGAGAGTATTCAAGTGACATGCATATATCTTCAGCACAAAGAAAAAATAAACAACAACAAAACTGAAATCTTGGAGAGATGACGTGATTAAATTTGTCTATTATCACATAGCCAGTAAGGATCAGAGGTATTTCTTGAGACCCAAACTCACTATGGAAATTGTACCAATTTAACAATGATTTTTATAGGTATTGGGGTAAGACAGTGGACTGGTGGTTACCATTTAAAGGAAAAGTTTGACTCAATAGAAGGAAATAGGGAGGCAGTTATGATATAGGAGAATGAGAACTGTCAAAGGATCTACTTAGGTTCTGCCACTTGCCACCTGTGTGACATTGGGGAAGTCATGTGTCTTCTCTAGGCCATCTGTAAGATGAAAATAGTTGGATTACATAACTCCTTAGGACCTGTCCATCTCTAAATCTATCATACTTTAGTGTTTGGTTGAACATCCAGAAGCGATTCAAATAGGAACATGTGAGGGGTTATAAAGATGGCTGGTAAGGAACCCTGAAAACCATGACAAGAATTTTCATTTGCTTTATGTAAGAAATGATAGGGTATATGATGGAAAGGGGACACTTAGATTAGTCAGATTATAAACGTAATATGTATAGAAGGTCATTTGGTCTGGGATAACAAAATTAGGAATATTCTTCCTCTACTCCCTGAATGCCTAGCTTTCTTCAAAGCTCAGCTTAAGTACCACCTCCCATATGAGATCATTCCAGTTATTGTACTCATTCCCTATCCCAGAAACAAATTTTCATTTGCTTTGTGCAAATTTTTATTTACTCATCTGTGTACTTGTTTTCCTCAATAGAACGCTAAATTCCTTGAAATCAAAGACTGTTTTTTGTTTGTTTTAATCTCCAGCGTCTAATGCAGTGCCTAGCACATAGTAAGTGGGTAATGAATGCCTGTTGAATTGTTGAATTTGGCACCAACTTTAATATTGAGGGAGGAAAACAGAAAGAATGGGAAAGGGAGCAATGTGAAGCTTTACTCTGGAGTAACCCTTCAGGAATGGGTAAAGTGGTTGAGTTGCTTCTATACTGGAACAGCTGGGCACTGCTAAAGGATATGGGGCTTTAAGCAAGTGGTCTCATCTGAATTATTATGAGTTTAAGGTGATGACAAGAAATCTAAGCAGAAATATCCCGAAAACAGTGAGTGGTGACACCAAAAGGAGAGGCAGAGATTTTTGACTCATCAATATTCAGGTGGTGGAAGTCATGAAAGGTATATTTAGTTCAAATGCACTGGATGAATAACATTTATAAATTAAGTTTGCTTGTGGTCTGAGGCAAAGTAGAGCTGGAAAGTCTAATTTGGAAGACTGAAGAGTTGAACATAAACAAGTGCTCATGTGTTTGTTATTGGTGCCCATCTTTGCTAAAGTACATCTCATTGTAAATAGATTAAGCACCTTACTAATTTGCTCTACTGACAGGGAAGCCATTAAGACATTATCAGTGAAGTGAAGAAATACAAAGATTAAATCAGAAAGATACACGGGGAAGAATCCTTATGGATCTGGAATTTAGCTTTCATTTTGTTGCAGGCAGGTGAACATCTACTTACCTTTTATATTATTACTTTAGCTAGCAAAGATGTATTGCATGGTAGGTTAAGGGCCTTCCTTTCAGCTATCATTAACCACAAATAGAACATGTGCATGCACATGCATGAACACACCCATGCACACCCAGTGCGTATAAGCTATCGATTAGAGAAGCAATCATATTAGTTTGGAGAATCAATTTCTTAAAACCGATGATGAAACAGAAAACAACAAACTTTTAAACAGAGATTGATAAAGCATTCCACTCCCCTGAAAGGAAGAGGCAAAAAGCAGGGGAAAGAGGAAACGAGTGAAGTTTGACCTAAGATATGGATTAGTGTTACAAAATCTCCCCATTCCCCCAGGCTGGACTATATAATGCTGGTAAGTTTAAGCTCTCAGTGTAGGGCAGCTCCAAATCCTTGTGTCATCTGTGTTTCCTTTCTCTTTCTAAGCACAACTCTCTCTCCCTTGTTCCATAGAGAACCATGACTTCTTCTCTTCAGTGTTCTTGCTTGCTTCTCACCTCTCAAGAGATCTAAGCTTCCCTCTCCTTTTTAGACATGGGGTGGGACTGTCCTTTGATTCTTTCTTCATTCTCCTGTCCCATCAACATCCATTTCCAGCTGTACTCTGACTCCCTCCTCAGGCTAGGAGTGCCTATCCATATAGTACAATTTGTTTATCTCTTCCCCAACTGCTGGGTACCTAATTTGTCCCTAGTTCTTTGCTACAAAAAAAAAAGTGCTACTCTATATTTGATATGTAAAGAATCCTTCTTTTGGTCTTAGATCTCTTCCAGGTTTATGCCCGTGTTGAGCTGTCTGGGTCAAAGGATCTGGACATTTTAATCACTTTTGAGAGGAAGAAAGGAAACCAAGTATTTATTCAGTCAGTCCATAGATATTTATTAACTTCCTATGTGAAAGGCAATGTGCTAAGTACTGGGGATACAAAAAGAGGCAAAAGACAATCCTTGCCTTTAAGCAGCTTGTACTGTAATGGGGAACACAAGAAAGCAAATAAATACAAATAAGCTATGTACAGGATAAACAGGAAAACAATTTTTTTTGAAGGAGATCATTAGAATTAAGAGGGGCTGGGAAAGGTTTCCTATAGAAGGTGGGATTTTAGTTGTGACTTACAGGAAGTCAGCGAAGCTAGCAGCTGGAGATGTAAAGGGAAAGCGTTTCAAGCATGAGGGATAGCCAGAGAAAATGCCATGAGCAGAGACATGAAGTGTCTTGTTTGTGGAACAACAAGGAGACCAGCGTCATTGGATCAAAGAGTACATGATGGGGAATCAGGTGTAGGAAGAGCAGAAAGGTAAGAAGGGGGCTAGATTATGAAAGGTTTTGATGATCAAACAGAACATTTTGTATTTGATCTTGAAGCCCTTAGGGAATCATTGGAGTTCATTGAGTAGTGGGGAGGGGTGACATAGGCAGAACTGTGCTTTAGGAAAATCACTTTGGTTCCTGAATGGAAGATGAATTGTAATGCAGATAGACCTGAAGCAGGTAGACCCATCAGCAGGCTATTACTGTAGTTCAGGTGTGAGGTGATGAGAGCCTACAGAAGGGTTATTGGTGGCAGTGTCACAGGAGACAAGGGGACATATTCAAGAGATATCTCAAAGATGGAATTAACAGACATTAGCAACACATTGTATAAGGGTGGGGATGAGAGAGAGAAAAAGTCAAAGA